GGTAATTAGCACAAGCTGGAAATACAGCCACTTCATTCCTTGCACCCTGACTGGAGTATTAGGATGTAAAAATGGATTGGTGCAGCTTCTACAGATAACACTGGAAGGAAAATGCTCTGAGGAAAGCAGCCTGTCCTGTAGGCTGCTGGAAGTGAAAGTGATGTGATATGAAGCCAGCAGCACATACCGAACAGATTACTCAGGCAGTGAAACATCTGTTCTTGGAGCCAGGATTGAACAGGATGTGATGCCAAGTAACCCTCTGCAGTTAGCCATGCTCTGAGCACAGGGCAAGAACAGATGACCTGCAGCTTGGAGAGGACTGTGACAATTTGGTGTTGTTTTCTGTCATTTGTAAAGGTTCATTTCATAGCAGCCTCACTGCTGCCATAATTCTTGTCCAATGTATAAAACCCTCAGTTAATGGTTATATAGTAGGAAAATATCCTTCCTGCAATTTATTGAATTTGAGCTGTACTATAGGAAATAGTAAGAACAGTGCTGAACACATTAAAAGGAGGAACAGTAGAACTAATATTCTTGATTTTTGACAAAAGTGAGTTTTTTCTGCAAATACCATTTACAGTGGCTTTGAGCTGTCACACTCACTCACTGAATTAACCTGTATTCTTTCTGCTCCTAAACCCTGCTCTCAAATGAGGAAGCTGAACTTCACATGTTCCCTGTAAAAGGAGCTTTAGCTTATCTAAGTACACCTAAAGCTCAGACATTCTACAAATCTTTCTCCTATGTTAAAACAAAGCTCATGCTAAAAACATCACCCACAGTGTAGAACAACCCTACATTTGGGCTGCAGCTTTTCCATGGGAAAGAACAAAGTTTTGCTCGACTAAAGCCAAGCTGACCTCCACACCATGGTTATTTGTGTACCCACTAAACAACCAGAAAGGTAATGCACAGAATTCTGCAAACAATTTGATAAAATTCACTCTGGATTTCATATTCAGACAGCTGGATATTTCATATTCAGACATATTCAGATTAAGCCAGCTGGATGAATCTGGTAAAGGCACTCTTCCTTTCAGCCTCTTGAAGATGCCACATTATGGCTGAACATGAGGACTGCCTGCAACAACTCTTCCTTTGGTTATCTCCTTCCCATAGGATAATGACAGTTTGGTTACTCTTTCTGTGAGTTCTTAAGTTCAATCTGAAATGTGCAAAGTGCCTATCTGTTTTCTCCCCCCAGGAGGTTTAAATAAATCTGGCAGAGCAAATTTAGGCATAGAGGTACCTTCCTCTTTTATAGAGAAGTGCTTGCACTCTGACAAGGAAGGAAATGGGTGGTTTCACAACTTGACCCAAATTGCTCTGCTAGCTCATGAAAACTAATATACCAAGTCCATTCCTATTTGCAAGTAATTTGCAATCTATTTCTGTTTATAAGGACTTAAAAAAAAGCTCAGCTATGTTTACATGAGAATTCCAAATAATGCCTAGATCATGCTTTTTTTGTCCTTAAGGTTTTTTTCCTCTAAAAATAATCCAGAGATTCTCATACCATGTAATAAATTTTATAGTAGTCGCATATATGCAACAGAGAGCAATTTAAATCATCTCACAGAAGATCTGCTTATCACATTCTACTCCAAAGACTGAACCTAATCGTGTGCCACTAACTTCCAAATTTGTTTGGGACTCCCACAGGAAGGTGCACACCACATTAAAACACAGGTAAGATATTGCCAATGTGTCACTGTCTAGTTTCCTTGCTTTTTCCCAGCTGACCCTCCATGAGGGAAATTCTACTGTGGCAAAGTACAGTCGTGTTCAGAGTATGTGTTGCAATGTTATGAATTAAAAACTATCCAAACTTTCATAACACAGCTAGATACTGGGCAAAAAGAAATAAATATATAAACCGAAACCAACAAACACAGCAGTCTGGTTTTGGTCTAAAAAGCATTTTATCTCCAATCTCCTTTTCCCCATAACCAGGAGAAGCCCAGTGCCCCATGAAGAATATCCTAAGTATTGGCCATAATACTGGCCAGAAGAAGAAAACTGATACCAATGTGTCTATCTGCAATAGGAATGGTAAAAGGAAATGAAGCTTGAAAGGCACAAGGGAAACTGTTATTTGGTTTAAGCTGATTTTGCATCAAATGCAAGTGAAAGAAGTTAAAAAAAAATTTTAGTGGTTTCTTGGTTTAATATCCACCACAGAGGTAAAATATTATCTGCCTTTACTTAGCACTGCTTAAGCCACTGAACTTCCACAGGATTTTACAAATTAGGGGAGGAGAGATTGGCAGAAGCCACCATCATGGTTCTCCCAGTTTCCAGTTGACTCCCAAGAGAGACAACAAGCATATTTTCATTCCTTTTCCAGAGTTACTATAGAAGCAGATGGCACAACTGCTACAAGAATGTCCTGCAACAGGAAATGCAATCTCACAGAGATTCTTCCTAAATATTTTGGAATATATAGTTTACAAAAATCAAGCAAAAGCATGCTTCAATAAAATCCCCTTCCAAAACTTACTCATGTACTCTCTGCTAGCTATAGCACAGAGTAGCAAAATTTGGGACAATTCCCCTCTCCACTCCATTAGTCTGGCCTTTCTTTATCTCTTCCAACAAGCTCAAAGGGAAAGCACATTCTCAGAGATGAAGAACTATGAAGAAAGTAGAGGGTTTGGGACAAGGAAGTGCTAAATTTAAGGGGATTTTTGTGTTCTTACCCCATATGGCAGAATTTGTTTGTCCTTGATGGGTAGATTAGCAAGAACTACATTTGAAACAAACATATGTAAGGTTTTGCTAAAACAAGATAATCATTAAGAAAATGCAGCCATAGTAATGTGAGTGGAAAGGTGCTTCTCTTCATTGAAATTCATACTTTTGATTATGAATAGTCCAGCTCATAATTGTTAAAACTTGGTGTTAGCCACATATTTTGTAAAATAATGTTTTCTTCTGACATCCAAATCATTCACAAACACACTCAGGAAAAGGAACAGCAGAAAATGTTAAGATACATGCCATTATCACACTTGGATTTAAATGCGGGGCTGGCTGCGATATGACAAGGGTTAATGGTTTTAAACTGAAGCAGGGCAGGTTTAGATTAGCTATAAGAACAAAGTCTTTTACAATGAGGGTCGTGAAACATTGGAACACGTTGCCCAGAGATGTGGTGCAAAATTCCAGGTCATGTTAGATGAGGCTCTGAGCAACCTGATCTAGTTGAAGGTGTCCCTACTCATCGCAGGGAGGTTGGAACTAGATGATCTTTAAAGGTCCCTTCTTGCCCAAACTGTTCTGTGATTCCTGTCAGATCCCAGTCTATGCCCTCTCACTCTGATAACCCAATGACTACTACTTAGTAGAGTGTTTCAGCCAATTCTACAACCCTGCAATTGTGATTTAATCTAGATCCCATTTACTGGAATTGTTTACAGCAGCTGCATAGCAGAACAGCACAAAAGCCTTACTAAAGTTAAATTACGTTCACTGCTGTCCACTTCTACACCAAGCCAGGCGCACTAATGAAGGACATTAGATCGGTTTGATACTGTTTGTCCTTGACAAATACAGACTGTGTTTTGTTCTGTTTTATTACTGCAGAATTTTATGTACTTAACAAAACCTTCTTTTACTTCTTTTACAATGGCAGACATTGCTAAAAAAACAGTATTCTGTCCTTGTGTCACAAAAGAACTGTGAAGTCACACAGTTTTAGAAGATCAGGGCTAGTGGAACAGTAAGATCAGAAGTTAGCTTGTGCCCTTTTGTTGCTCAGATACTTTTTTAAAAAATGTTTTAAAATGTTCCACAAATCTCATAACTTTAAATGTCAAAAAGAAATAGCACAATATTCAGCAGTGCTGTGAGACAACAAAAATATCCCTTCAATGCAAATAGTAGTAACTTAGAAATTGTTTTGTTATCTACTTTTAGGTATGTTGTTACAAACTCCATGGAATTTCTCTAAGTACTTTAATTTCTATTTTTTTAATCTATGCAGATCCTTTGTAGATTTTTAAATTAACCTTCATATCAGTAGGTAAAGAATTCCTTATTTCATATCTGTAAGATTCGCTATACTACTTTTATCTAAACTACCAGGTAAAAACCATTTGCCATAGATATTTTACTGGCTGAAAAATATAAAACTCTACACATCACTAAATCTTAAGGTGAACATATTTTTTATCCTTCATTATCATGAGGGATAGAAACTGGAGATACCATTATTTGCCTATGCAGTTAGGGAAAACAAGGAAGTGAATTTTTAAAAGTTCAGGTTGAAGTTTTCAATCTGCATAAGAATTTTCTATAGATCAGAATATGTGGTGCACAAGAATTGTTGTTTGTACCTGAAAGTACCGATGAGGTTCTTGCAGTGCTAAATTGGAAGACTCAGTACCAATAAAAGAAAACCAGCCAAGCAAAAATCACCCTCCCTGCTGTATACTACTTCATTAATAACAAAAACCAACATCAGAGTATACAGAGTATCTACTGAAGAAATTACACTAATGATGGATAATGTATATGTGAACATAAAGGTTCTGAAGTGAAATTCCTAAGTGATATGAGATAATGATTCATCTTTTCAAGAAGTTAACTAAAACCACATAGGAGTTCCATTTCTTAGAGGTAATGTTGTTTTATTCCCATTACTCATGGAGGGTAATGGTTCATCTCCCATTGCTGTAAGAGGCACGTTGGCATCTACTGATCAAGGAAACCTTGTTTCTGTTATTTCATCCATCAACAGGTTATCAATGGCTGCATTTCTCCTTGAGGAAAGCAAATACATCACACTTTTTCACAGAAAAGGGGTCATATGAGGGAATTAATGGAAAAATATATTGAAGACTGGACCCATAAAGCTCAAAACAAACATCTTTGCGATGAACACTAAGTCATGTGAATACTTTTTTGTAAGACTATTGTATTAATATGCCTCCCAGAAACTACTTTCCCTCTCACTAAGGATGTTTTACAAAAGGAATAACAATAAGCACAGCAGTAATTAAATACTTCTATTTATTTTTTCATTAATATAGTATTTCTTTCCCCATACATAAATAAAAAGAATCACTAATAATTATTGAAGAGTTATCAAAATAGGGTACTATTGAATTTGTCGCTTCTTTTGGAAGACAATCTGCTTTAGTATTGTTCCGAAACATCACTGATGCCTACAGAACAATGAATCATTTTTCCCCCAGCCTGAATTTCCATAACAGATCCAAGGCACATAATAGTGTATTAATTTTATGAACCAGTTTTAACCCAGTACAGAGAACAGAAATATACCACATCAAAAGGTATTAAGAATTATTATTTGAAGAGAAAGTTTATTAATTATAAGGGCAGATAAGCCTATTGCCAGATGGTGCAGATTCTACTGGTAAAGATTAGAGTTTTGATTTCTTCTGAAAGAAGCTGACAATAGCATTTATACACTCATCAGACAACCACCTCTCTGTCAGGACTTCACACTCTCTACTGTTGACTGCATGGAGCTTCTCCTTTTCCGTACTTCGTAACAGTTGCTTTGACACTGCCAAGGACTGGAGGAGGAAAAGAGGAACATTAGGAAGTTAAGTATTCTATACTTTTTCTATACTTTAATTTAAAGTTTCAGAAAAATAACACAAAACCCACACTGGAATCCTAATCCAGTTGTATTAATGTTGCACCTCTTAGCTTTTAGTCAACCTTTTCACTGGAAGTATTTATTGCATTTAATTACTAAAAGTGCTAATAAGGTGGAGGAGGCTTATGGAAAGCAAAACAGCAGCCCACTAAATGCTCATAATCACAGTAGATGCCATAAGAAGTAAAACCCACTTCACTGTCTGCAGTGTCAAATGAACCCACATTATCAGCTGGCACAGGTGTCTCCTCTTGTCCAATGTAACCTAATACCATTGTGACTTAAGTAGTTTTGCAAAACCTAAGCTAGCAGGATGACTGAAGTCACCTACTGTCATCTTGAGTGCGCAGGGTGCACACAGTACAGTTAACGTTGTAGACCCAGTGGTAAGGTTCTTAAAAATAAACTATTGCCAAAATAAAAACCTAAGAGAAGGCATCCAAGGCAGTCATAGAGAGACTGCACAGATGGATTAATTAATTTGTTTTGAAGGCTTTTCAGCCATTGAATCTCTGTGTACAGTACACTGTCTTAGATGCAGACAGAGTAGAAGAGAGGTATTTGTTTCCCAGCAGCACAGGAACAGATCTGTGCTTGAAGGAAAATATATAGAGCCTCGTTATTTCAGTTAAGGATGGAATGAAACCAAGTGACAGGATAGATTTGGTAGGAGAATTGGGAGTGCTACAGGCTTACAAGGTGGAGAAAAATGTAAAATACTGACATTTTTGGGGAGGCTTGCATAAGCTTCTAATCTTGCCCAAACTTCCTTCTGAAAACTGTTGTCAGGGAAGACTTCAGTCACAAGTCCCTGGGCACAGGCTTCTGCTGCAGTCAGCTTTTTATTGAAAAGCAACATCTCACTTGCCTATGTGAAGAAAAGTAGAAAGTGTGATTCAACAAGACACAAAACTTGAGTAATCTGACAGGAAATCTACACACTTCCATGACACATTTATTTTACTCTCTTGCTCGTTAATATCTGCCCTCTGAAAAGAACACAGAATCACACAATTGATGATGTTGGAAGGAACCTCCAGATATTGTCTACTTCAAAGCCCCTGCTCAAGCAGGGTACTTAGTCCCATCATTCAGGCCATAATGAAGAGATTAAGTAAGTATTACACCCAGTATACACGCCTGGGCTATGCCACGGGTGACTGGCCTACAGTTCCTATTGCTCACTAAGAGTGTACACGTCTTTCTGAGTAGAGCTCCAAGGATGTAATCTGAAATTGCCTCACCATAAATGTGTTTGTTCACTTTTGCAGTGACTCCAAGATTTCTAGAACATGTACTGGCAGGCTATGTCTCACTGAACATACTACTCTTGATGCTTGGATGTTTATAAGCACTCACTCTGCTCCTCACAGATTTAAACCCTGGTCAACAAAAATACACTGTATTAATGCATGCATTATCAAATAAGTATTTAAAATTACACATATTTTTTCTGTGGGATATCAAAAGAAGCAGAAAGGAGTTACGCTGTTCTGAGAAAAGAAAATTTAGATTCTGCCATCTCTCTTGTCTTTTTTCCATTTTTTTTTTAATTACTCTTATTTAGTTTCCTTATTTCTAGAGTAGACAGAGAAAATAAGAGTATGGACAGAAGACCACATCTGCTCTTACAGTCAGAAGATACCAACACACAAAGGTCAGATGATCCCACAGACAGTGCAGATATTCTTACCTTGGCTAAGCCCATGATTTTTGGAAACAGGTAAGAGGAACATCCTTCTGGGCTCTGTCCAAGTTGACTAAATGGGCTGTGAAACGTAGCCTGGGGGGAAAAAAAGAACAAAATAAAGCAAACCTTACAACAGAGCACAGAATTAAAGTACTAGGATTTAGTTTTTATTTTAAAGCTTCTATTGTGACAGAGTTAATCAAAGCCACACTTGAACTGTTACCATGATAGGCTTTAAATGTCATCTGCTAACACTGCTTCATGCTCTCAATGCAGGCAAGAGTTGGCTTTGTCTATATAATTCAATTTCCTTATCATAACAACCCCAGTGATGAAGTTACATTATCTGAATACAGCACTGAGAGAATCTAATATGTACATGCAAAATCTTTACAGAAAGGATGCTCATACACATCTGCCCTAAGTCATTAAATACATATTTCAAATAACTTAAAAGGTAAAAGGTATTTTTGCCTTTCTGAAGGCACACTAAGTTTATTCTGCTCCTGAAGAATTCAAGTCACTGAATCTTCTTTCCTCTAATTTTATGAAAATCTAAAAAGAGCCTGTGCCAGAAATGCATTATGGGGTCACACAAAATAATACCATTTGTGGCAAGTTAGAACTGAACAGCAGAATTTTATGTTTTGACAACTCGCATCAACTTTAGGTAAGAAAGACAAAATGTTTGCCTTTATTTCCATTTAAAAATACGAACTGATCACAAAGAGAGCAAAAGTTGCCAGTGGAGCTTTCACTGAAATAGAAGGTTTTGAATCCTCTTCATGAATCTTCATTGAAAAAGAATCCCTTGCTATACTACAGAAGGCCACATGGTAAGACAGATCAACAGACTTCCTAGCAAGAAAGTGACATTTATAACATTGTACAAAAAGACTAGACAACATCTGTCAGGATGCAGACTGGTATTAGACATGCTTAAGCAATGGGAGATTAAATATTCTGGGGGACAAACTGGTGTCCCATGCACTGGAGTGAAACCCAGTGCAGAAGGCAACATTAACTGATCTGTTGTCAGACTGGGCTGTGCAGTGTCCCATAACGTGGCTGGTAATGATCTGCTCTGGGAATACCTGGCTGAGAATAAAACCAGATCCTGAACATAGCAAAGCTGGCCATTTCTGCAGTGGGTAGTCAATGCTTAAGGCACTCCAATGAAACTACTGGAGAGTGTGAAATTAAGTAGTAATTTGGATGAAAATGACCTTACTGCATGGGGGTTCACAATCCTGGAAAGGGACGAACAGAGAACAATCACCTTGGAGAAAGGTTTGATAAACTTGAGGTTAACTGGAAAATTTCCATGAAGGATAACCTAAATGAAAGGTTAGGTTAGACCCTACAGAAATACTCCAAGAACTATTACCAAGGGCCCAAGCAAAAGCTGAACCAGTGCAAATAGGAAGGTACTAATTCAAGTATGAATTTCAAGCTATTCAAGAAAGAAGGATAATATTAACAGAACAAAGCATTTAATACTTATTTGGATTAAACTTTAATTAAATCTATACTAACTTACAGGTGTAAGGAGATATTATGCTGAGGGGAGGTGATTAGAATTCCAAATAGTCTTAATAAAATTGAGAGATACAAGTCAGAAGACACTATTTAGTACAGATAAGTTAAAGTTTGTCAGGAATAACTTAGTATATAGTATATGTTATACAACAGGAACAATTGTTTCACTAGCAACTTTACAGTTGTTATATCAGGTGTTATATCAGATCACAAGTACGTAAATCAAATAACAATGTGGGATGTCAAAGCAGAAATACAGTCTGCAGAATACGGAGAAATTCTTCTGCTTCACTTTGCATGAGTAAGACAGGAGCTGGAGTGATGTGTCCAGCTTGTACCACTGTGCTTAGAGAGACACAGAACAACTGGAAGGAGTCCAGAGGAATGTGACTGCAGGCCACATGAGGAAAAGCTGAACAAACTGCAGCTGTTTAGCTCAAAAAAAGACAGAGAGACTGAAGATAAACCCAAGCTATATCTAATAGCCTAAGTATGCTGATGGCTAAGCATATTTACAGCTGTTGTAAGGGAGGATGAAAACAGTCTGTTCTTTAAACTGAGGAAAAAGAAACAATAGGTTCACCCTGTAGCAAAAATAGACTAGATGGGAGGGGTGAAAGAGGGAGAATCCAACAATTCTCTAGTAAAAAAAAAGAGATCTGGGGACCAGAATAGACTGAACAAACGACACACATTATACAAGCATATGTCAGGAGTGCATCGGCCGTGAGTGATCCTGTAATGGATCACTTCAGCCAGCTACTGAACTTCCATTCCATAATAAACTTTTGCTCCCCCTCCCACACCTGAGAGCAACCTTACAAGCATCATTTCACATCATGATAGAAGAGAGGCTCTTAGAAAAGAGCCTTTAAACTGGAGACAGTAACTTGATAACCATAATCACAGCAGGGAAATTCCATGCATATTAACCAGTGGTTGGTGCACCCCTGTGCTGGTAATTAATACAGGCATTTCTTGATGTGATATAAAATGCATTTAGACTTCTTTAAAATGTTCTTTTCTCCCAAGATTACCCCAAATCAAATAGTATTTGCTAGAGAAAGAGGCTTAAAGACTGTCTTGGGATCAGCTATGCAACGTACTTACCCTGTCAGAAGCATAGACAATGTCACACAATCCAAGGACTGTTACACAAATTCCAATAGCTGGGCCATTTACCACTGCAATCAGTGGTTTAGGAAAATCAATAAAATGACCCACAAAATCTCTAGAGAGAAGGGAAAAGAGAAAATGTAAGATGCAAGAGACATCTCAAGTGGTTTTCATCCAATATAAACAACTTTCAAAACACGTGATTAGATACTGCATAACAAAACCCATGAACTAGATAGAAACTGTGTAGTATATGTTTTTGACCCTTTCAGAAATGAATTCTGACAAAACAAGAACTATATGAAACACCTGCATTTCCTTAGCAACTAAGAATCAAACATGTACATATCAGCAGAGCCTTCCTAGTTCCTGCAATCAAGTTATGAAAGTGTTTTCCTCTTCAGCTACAGTTACTGAATACAGTTCACTAACAAGAACACTCTTTTACCTATACGTCCATCCCAACTCCATCCCTGGGATAGCCATTCCCTTCACAGACTGTTCTGCAGCAAAGCCCAAATAGGAACCAAAATTGTGATGCTACCACAACACAGAATTCCCTGCTGCTCTTTTGCACAGGTTTGAGAAAGAGCCTTTTGTTTCAAAATAAAACACCTCCCAAAAGCAAACAGTGTTGTAAGAACTCCAGTTCTCTGACATCTCTGTGCATCAGATCTAATGAAGCACTATGTTTGTGTAATAGTAACAGCACAGCAAGCACAAGTTTCTCACAAGAGCAAGATTAAAGACCATAAAGCACACATGAGGCTCTACATTGTGCTGAACACCCTATAAAGCACTGCAGGCTGGAACACTTGCCAGGTACCACTGAGTAACAGCTTCAAAACAGGTTCACACTGCATCATTAGCACTTCGAGGGGCAAGTGTGATCCACAGACAGCTTGTCTAAGTAAAAGCTGAGTACTTTACTTGCAGTTCATCTTTAAAATACAAATAAAAAGCATTGGGTTTCTGTGTATTTTAGCTTTTCCATCAAATTCAAGTGCCTGAGGGAACAATCAAACTTGCAAGCATCTCCCAAATGCAATCATCACATACAGAAGTAAAAGAGAAGACAAAATCTGTTCAAGTAGGGAAAAAAGAAACATGCTGTTTGTCCCCAAAACCTCTGTGTCAGATGATACCCCGATCAACTTGGCCTTAGAAAATAAATTAGTTTAACAGATAAATTCACTTCAAGATGGAGCCAAGATCTCAGAATTACTGGGTAATTTTGAACAAGTTCATTCCAACTGGTCTCTATTCAAAAGAAGTCTGTCATTGAAGGAATTTGACATGTCCTGCTAGTGTGGACACTGTTGGATATCAAAAACCCCACAATTTCTTTCATTTAAAACAATGATTTTGTCATTATATCTGCATGTACTTTGGGGACTGAAAAATGACATGAAGTCTTCAGCATCACTGTACTTAAAAAGACTTCTAATATTAATCTCATTTATTTCATACAATTAATACTTGTTCCTCCCACATTATCTTTGTGTTTATGCACACGGTGAGCTCTTGGACACAGTCCTCTAAACAGATGAATAGTAGCATAACTTGGTCCCTACAGATTTGTTTTCTAACAAAGCCTGCAAATTACATTTAACCCATTACAGTAACTTATACATATATGAAACCAAGATATTCTACCTGAGTAATACTGCTCCATCTTTTGCCATCTTCTCCATTTCACCAGGCTGGATATTAGCAAAATTATTCAGGTCATTTCCACTGCTATAGTAGTCTCCGTTTCCTGTAGAGAACACATATGAGTAAATGCACCAGTGGTTTCTGAGTAGGTAAGAGAAGAGAAGCTTTCATTTATTAGATTTACAAAAGAAATTTCATACTAAGTGTCTAACATTATTAAGCGATTGGAGAGATTTTCTCAAAGTACACACACTATCTTAAAGGACATCTGTGGTCTAAAAAGGAGTTTTGACTGACAATTTGCTGAAAAAAAATTCTTTGGTTGTAAAAAGCCAAAGAATATTAACTGTGAAATATTTGACGCAGGAAAATTAATTTTTTTTTCTCTAACAGCATAAGATGGAAAAATATTTTGTTTCTTTCCCTGCATACTTCCTCAGGGGTTTTTTTCTGTCATTTCGCAATCATTCTAACAGTTAGATGTGAGAATCTTTTTTTTTTTTGAACAGGACAACGGAAATGTAAGTTGATGCATCTTCCTTCATCCACCTTCAAACTGATGAAGGAATCAAAAGTAGACAGAATAACCTACTTCATACGAGGTAGAAGTTTCACATTTTTTGTGATCAATTTAGGAAAAGGTATAGCATTCTATGGATAAGACTGGTAGTACTGCATTGAAATCACTGTACTGGAAGACAGATTCTTCAGCAAGAAACATATAACCTCTTAGTGAATGTATAAGTCAGTTTGAGGTGCCACCAAAAAAGCATGGAGCATTTTAAAGCTAGACCGCATGACTTAATTGTCTAAATCATCCCATATTTCATGAGGACATTCACAGGTTGGGACCTTTCATGGGTTGGCACATCCATTACTTTACACTGTAGTGCTCTTATTCACTATGTAAAATGCAATAGAAAGGTTTATGCAGAGGTGTTTGCTATTTACTCAGACATTCCAGTTGTGCAAACTACCCTTTTTATTTTGTAAAGGCTGTGGTGCCCAGTCATTGCTACTGAAAGGAAATCCAGGAGCCTGGGAATGGGAACCAGCTGCTGGTAAAGCAGACAGTGGAGACAAATATGCATGCAATTACCTCAGAGTAAGCAGGTTTAAGCCCAAATTCACCTTGAATTCACACTACTTAGCTGCCAGCCAAAGCTCAAGTTTTGGCTAATTTCCTAAAAAGACATACATATGTGCAATGAGGATGGGCCACACAGGCAGTGCCTGCCCTCAGTCCTTCTGTCACTGCTGGCTGTCCTCGCCACCACGCTGTTCAGTCAACATAAGAAACAGACCAAAAGAGTCCTCTAGAGAACCAAAAGGATGTGTCCCCAGAGTAGCTAGACTTCACAGGTAGTATGAGTTTGGGCTGCCCTTTCAATACTAGTGCTGCAGTTATCCAGCTGCACAGATCTGGTGACAGGGATGTACACAGCTCGGCCAGGTTGCAGCTTCCCTGGCCAATCCTTTCCTGTGGCAGCCATAGAAAAAAAAGAGAATGAATGTAAAATACCATTTTTTCTGATGATCATTGGTAAACATGCAGTGCAAACTTTCTATTGGCTGTGCCAGTACAGGATTTCAGATGCTTGTTTTAAGTGTGTTCCAAATGTATCACAGAGGTAGAGAGAAAATTGACTAAACTCATACCAATGAACTCTAAAAGCAGTAACAAAGATGCTGTGGATGGAACAAATATATCAGCTACTCAAAAGTAATAAAGCCTTAGGAGTATTCCATGTCCATATTCTCATCTGAGAAACACGTTTTGATGTAACGGCAAGCTTGCTAAAGAATTCAAAATGCCACCTTGAAGTAATTTTGCCAAGGCACTTTCAAAAATCTTTGATCTATAACAGAAGAAAGAATTTCCTCACTTACACAGTTCAATCTTAGCCTAAATACATGTAGATAGTTCATGTCAATACTATACAAAACATACCAGTAATAACTGCTATGGTGGAATCATTTTTTCCAGCTTCTTCAAGTGCTTTGATAATTTCTCTGTACATCTGCATAAAAGAAAAATCAACAAAGTACAAATGTGATGCTACAAAAGAACACAAAAATGACATTGACACTGACAAATAGGAACTCAAGAGACAGATTAACTACAATCCTTTAAAGTACTGAAAAATTTTGCATGCACAGAAAGTTAACTATTACATGTGAGGTACTTCTGACCATAAAGACACACATTTGCAATACTGAAAAATTCCAATGCAAATTTAAAGGACAATATAAGGTCCTTTGTTAAACAAACACTGTCTGGAAGCTAATTTTAAAACTTGAGAAGTAGTTTAAGTGGGTAAAATAACATACTAAAAAGTTAGCAGCAGTGGGGCAAAGACCCTAGTTCTGGTATCTTTGCAGTTGTTAAACAGCATGATTATTATGCTTCCAACATGATGGACTTAGTCATGAAGATAATTGTGGGAAGTGGAGGATTACCTACACATGCATGCAACGGTGCAGAGCCAAATGCTGCACAAATGCTTCATTACATAGATTACAGTTAAATCTTATGTGCACAAAACAGGCCAGTCTTCCTGCAGTTTGCCATTTTACTTTAGTGCAGACCATAATCCTATATTAAGTTTGAATGAAATCAAGAGACACAAAAAAGCCTAATCTGTAAAATTTTAGCTGAATGATTTCATTTTGTACTGGATATTTATTCCTTAGGTTGTCACTGGAGTCAGGATACCAGCCCCTCATAAAATTCAGACCACCATGTTTCAGTCAGTTCTTCTTAACCTGTAGTGAGGATTCTTTAAAATTTCAATAGTTTACCCAGGAAAGAAAAAAATCATTAATCTTCCCAAGTTAATTTCTTTACCTGATGGTTGATGGCATTTTTCCTTTCAGGTCGGTTAAACATTATCTTTGTGATATTGTTTTTGGTAGTAACTATTAATGTTTCATAGCCATCATGCCTGCCCTCTTCTGGAGAAGCATCTTTCTTCTGGCTAGCAGATTCGGCAGAGAGCAGACTTGAGACAAGTTCAGCATATTTCTGCCTGGCATTATCCTGTAATAAAAGGAAAGGAAAAAAAAAGAAAAAAAGGAAATAAAGAAAAAAATGTTAAAAGAATAGGAAAAAACCCACACACAATATTATGAAAGGCTAAAATGTAAATCAGTTATAGTACTAATAAAATGGGTACCTGGGGGAAACGAGGGGGAAAGGGACTGTGCTTCAAGACAAAAAAAAATAAAAATCTCAATTATAAAGCATTCTAATTAGGGGGGTGACAAAGGGAACATGTTGTATTTAAACACTGCACAACAAGCTTAAAGTCATCTGAAAAGCAGCAGCGATATATCTACAAAAGTAGAAGTGCATAAATACTGGGATGATAAGACTTATTTTGTCAGTGAAGAACTCCCATCCACACCTAGGATGACCTTTGTCATATTCCCAGCATTTACACATTTCCATGGATCTTCTGTTTCTTCTTTCCAGTGAAACACTTCTCCAACAAAGCTTTTATTTTAGAATATATTGGTCTGAAAATTAGAGTGCTAAAATGGGTCTTATGGCATTTTAAAATTGCTTGAAGACACTAGTTTTCATTTAGCACTAGCATGACACACAGAAGCCTAAAGAATCCTGTGTCCTTATCTCTACATTAAACAGTGATTTAAAAGAATTTTAAGTTCTTGGTTTTTACAACCTATTTTCTTGAAAGCATAATATACTCTGAAAAATTTTATAATCCATAATCTGTAGCACATGAAATTGTCTATCCACTCTCCACTCTAACATCAAGACCAGATTCTTTTCCTTAAGTGTTTCTTCACTACTCCTAAAAGCAGGGCCATCAAAAAACCCCACAAAAATATTAAAATACATCCCAAAAACCCCAAAGCAGGACAAGAATGTATTATATTCATGAAATTATGCAAGTATGTTTTTTTTTAAAAACAAACCAAAAAAAAAGGCAAAAAAACCCCTCTGTATTAAGGAATACCTTTGACTGACCTCAACAACTACTGCTGAACAGCAGGCCTAATGCAGTAGTAACACAGCTGATTTGAAAAGCTTGTTTCCTTCATTAAAGAATAACTGAAGAAACCTTGGCAGCTATATGTGATGTCAGACTTACTACAGTCTGCATGAAAAAGGAATGCTTATGTGTATCTGCATCTTTATTCTTTCTGCTTGCTTCACTTGACTTCTCTAAAGGTTATGAAAGGTATTAAAGAGGTCAAGATACACTGAGAAAAAAAGAATGAAGAGAGGCTCTCCATACACCACTTTTTTCTAGTCTTTTAGTCAACAGCATAAGAGACTGATTTTTTTTAAATGACAAAGTTATTAATATGCTAGATTCAGAGATTTGGGTTTTGTTGTAAGAACTGAGAAGCTCAATCCATCTTTCTCAAAGAGAACAGCAGAATAGATCATAATGTGAAAAAAAGTATTTTCATTGGAAATCACGATATATGTAAGATCTCTTACATTGATACAAGCTGGTAGTAATAAAGTAGAATTAGGCTTACACACTAAACAAAAATCTCCAAACACTGAAGCAGTGAAATGATTGAGGAATACTGTGCAAAACATTTTGATGGCTGAAGCAAAGTTGCTCAGCTAGCATGTCATAGACATCAGCCATTCACTTACAGATCAGGCACTTCAAGGTAGAGTAATCTACAAAGTGAAATTATAGGTATTGTCACCTGAGACAAATTGCCAAGAGAATTCCATGCATCCCACTTGGCTTTCTTGACAAAGTCCAGCATACCTGGTTTTGGAGCATTGCAGGGACCTTCAGTAGCCTGAAAAGAGAGCAAAACAAACTTACTTAAACCCGTGATTAAAGTTCAGATGCCTTGGTAGAAAAGATGATAACTATTCAGAATATTTATCTGACCTGGATACAGAATTTAACTCTGAGACAGGAGAAATACCTAGTAGTTGGACAATATTCAGATAGTTCACATACCATGAACTTTTCAGTGTCTGCTATTTTCTGACACCTGGTGCTGGGCTTTCACAAGTAGCCACCCAGTATGAGACACTGGTTTCCAAAACACTTAAGCTCTCCTACCTCAAAAACTGCAGAAGTTTTATACTTAGAAAGAAAATTACAGACTCGTAAGCTGTGCGAACAAAGAAACCATTGCATAGGATCTATTAAGTTGGATCTTACTTCAAAGTTGGCTCTACTGTGAGCAAGGGCGTTTGAGCAATTGAACTGCAAGAGTTCTGAGCTATCCTGAAGTATTCTGTGACCAGTTTTCCTGAGGAAAAGTACACTATCGGAGAGAAATATTTCAAGTGGCAGGCAGGAAAGAAAGAAAGAATACATTTATGAGCTCACTATTAGTAATTAGTAAAGCTACCTGGAACCATCACCTGTCCTTAAGATTTTATTTAAATAAGCTATCAATTGCTTTCTTCGATATAACAAGCCACAGCCTGTAGTGACACTGCAGCCAACCTTGATCCACAAATACTTCCCCGAATACCAGTACAAACCCCACTAAGAACCTGCAGCTATTTTTACAAAGGTCTCCCTCCATGCTGTAATAAAGGAGAACCTTCACTCAAAGTGTGGTGGAATGGTTCCTTGAATTTAAAACAAAACCAAAAAAACCCAAACAAAACCTACAATGACCACACTAAAAAAAAGAGAGAAGAAACCATCAGAAATCAACCTTCAAATGTCAGCACCATTATATTATAAGCACAGCTGACTGTAGATACAACAAATTTAAGAGGAAGCATGCAGCATACTCTTTTTTTCTTAGGCATAAGCCATTTTCCAAAGCTGAACCTATATTATTATATGGAAGGTATCACACAATGGATGTAATTTGGCTCTATTTCTTTGAATACAGGTTTCTATTCAAAGTATGATTTATAAGAAAAAATAGGTTTGGCTTCCCTCAGAATTTAGGCAGAGTTTAAGGGGCTGGCATTTCAAGAACAGAATTCAAGCACTTGAAATGAAGAGCTTGTTAAGACAGAATACATTTGAACAGTCCCTAAATCAAGTAAATATTTTACAGGTCCATCCCCTCAGGTTATAAAAATGCTCCTTACAAAATGAAATAAATCAAGCCTACCTGTTTAAACAGAGCATAGAGTTTCAACTTAGTTTCGTTCCCAGGATCCTTTTTCAAAAGCTTCAGTTGCTCCTGAGCCTTTTCAAAGTCCTTCTGGCTGACTTGCATGGTGGCTGCAGTCATGTGCAGGTGAACCGCTGGAATGCAAACAGCTAGTGTTCGTCTGTGAGTAAGTGGGGAAAAAATCCCATTACTTGTTTTTTGTGCAAGACTAGGGGAGAAACAAATATGCTGCTTTTTAAGACATTTAAAATATATATATAAAACATACATATCACACTAATCAAAACATCAACAAGCAAGATACTAAAAATTACGAGAAAGTTGCTTTAGAAGCCTGCTTTCACTGCAATATAATTAAACCTTGGAAATTGTTACTTTTTATTAATTATTTAAAGTTCATCCCCCTGTACTTGGCAGCTTCGAGAATGTGTTCAGTTTTGGGCCCCTCACTAGAAGACAGACACTGAGGTGCTGGAGCATGTCCAGAGAAGGGCAAGAGAGCTGTGTCTGGACCACAAGTCTGATGAGGAGTGGCTGAGGGAGTGAGGGGTTTTTAGCCTGGAGAAAAGGAAACTTGGGGGAGACCTACCTTTCTACAACTACCTAAAAGGAGATTGTAGTCAGCTGGTGGTTGGTGTCTTCTCCCAAGAAACAACTGACAGGACAAGAGGAACAGTTTCAAGTTACACCAGAGGAGGTTTAGACTGGTGAAGAAATTTTCCTAATATCCAAATGAGTGGTCAGGCATTGCTGCCCAGGAAAGTGGTTGAGTCACCATCCCTGGAGGTATTTAAAAGATGCGTGTATGTGTCATCTGGGGACATGGTTTAGTGGTGGGCTCAGCAGTGCTGGGTTAACAGTTGGACTCGTTATCCTAAACGCCCTTCCAACCTAAATGATTCTACGATTAACAGCTTTATACGCCTATGAATAGACATATTGACAGTATGCAGCCTGTCTGTTCTTTATGATCTTTTCAAGTGTGTGTGCTTCTATCTAGAAATACTTCAATTTGAAAACCTGGTTCTCCAATCAGGGCAGCATAAGTGAAGACTAATTTCAAACTGTACTTTGGAAAAGGACTGGCTGTAAAACAGCCTGTAGACACTCAAGAAAAAAAAGATAGTCAAAACATACTGGGAGAACAACCTTCCATCAAAACAAGGTAATTCCGTCAAAATCTCCCCCAAAACCACCAAACCCCACTCCAAAGGACCAAACCTAACCCAACTCTATAATGCTTTGTAAAAGCAGGTTTACTTCAACAGTTAGGAATCAAAAGCCAAGAAGTCTTGGCTTCTTTGGTTTCTTTCAAGAGGGCAAAAGCATGTTGTCATAGCCTTCTTTGGTTAAATTGCAATATACATCAAGCATTTTTACTATTTTTAAAATGTTCTCAGTTTTCGTATCAACATTCCTCTATTTTAGTTAAAAATGAAGAAAAAAAGCCCAGCTTTTCCCATCCTAACTCACTGATACAGCTGTTGTCTTAGAGCATCATATATAATAGATTTCATAACCAGTCACGTTTGAAAAATCAATGATTATTTCATATGAAGATTGATAGAATGCTTAACCTGTTTAATGTTAATATTTCAGCTACAGAACCATCATTTAAAAATCATACCTAACATGAAAACTCTCCCTTTTTACACATACCTAACGAGAATTTAAGAAATTCTACTGCCTACTCATAAATATCCTTGTTGCTCTTATTTTGTAAAGAAAATTTATTATGAGTTGCAAGCCTAAAAGTTGCAGGCAGGCAGTGTGAAGAATGCCAACTATGTGCCATCATTTTTATTCCTCTTTCATTTTATGGAGATAGCTTGTCTAGGTGTCTTGTAAAAATGCTTGTAAGATCTATTGGGTCTTTGTCCTACTATAGCTCGTCTGTATGAATAAAATCTAGTGTTCCTGGTATTTTGGAGATACCAGGTTTGAATGGCAGACATGGAAAGAATATTTTCTGTTATACAGAGTAATTCTTTCAAAATGAAAGAATTCCAAAATCTGCTTCAAAATCTTATGCCTGTAAAAAGAAACCTATCTGAACAATACAAAGTGGAATAGGCTATCAAGAATGGCTGCAGGAACAGAAAGTGCTTTTACTTCAGTTGATCAACTGTAGGCCTTAATTATTAAGATAGCAGTGCACCCAGACAAACCAGGATTAAACGTCTGCTAGTTTAATTAACGTTCAAACGGATGTGTTTGGAAGACTGTGTCAGAGTTTAAGAAGTTCATCCCTTAACCAACTTGGATGCTATCTAGCCAACTTGGGGACTTCACTTCCAGGATCAATAAAAGACCTTCAACAGGAAGAAGTGTACCTAAACAGATACAGATACAAGGTTTTTAATACTGCATTTCTCTGACTGGTCTGTCCGGTAAGCCAGACATGACATTTACTTTCAGATCCTATTCCCAAACATGTTTTTGAAGTCACATTTACCGGAAGAAGAAAATGAGAGTGTGGGAAGGGCAGGGGTTTGTTTTGGTTTTGCTTTGTTTTCCTCCAATTTTACTATCCATCTTTGGAATTACTTGAATGCTGCTGTCCCCAAGATGATCTGTGTATCTAGTACAAATTTTCCTGTCAATCTAGGCAGTGACTAAAGTGGATTCAGTGTTTAAAAATGGAGCTATAGGCTTACACCATGTTTAACAATGTGGACTTCACTCCAGCCCGGCTGTGGTCAATATTATAAAAAGACTTTAAGACTCTCCTTTATATACAATTTGATAATGACCAGAAATTAACAAAAGTTGAGGATGAGCAGTTGAGGAGAGGGGAACAACACAGCAGCTGGTCTGAAGGTATGTACGCACATATATTTATGGTTAAAGGTTTTCTTGCATTTAGCAGGTCACAAGTTCTCTTCCTTATTTAAGGATGAAAAGTGGACAAGTCAGAAGAGGACAAAAAAAACAATTTGGTGAATAAAAAAAATCTAGCTGGGGAAAAGTGGAATGATCTTTCAGAAAGTCCAGATTCAGAGTGACTTTCCTTTGCTGTTTGGTTTTTACTTAGTTAAAAAATGTTGAGTCTAAGCTAATGCTATTATTTCTCTATTAAATTAACAAAGGATGAAAACACAAAAGAAAGATTAAGTTATTTCACATTTTATTCACCTTGGGCAGGACTTCATTCTTCAGAGGCATACACAAATAGCAGGAACAGAGCTCCTTCACCCCAATTAGATCATAGAGCAAGGAGGAGAGGACTTGACACCGCTCAGCAGACACAATAGCATTGCCATCTCTGGGACTACAGAGTGACTCCATGCCAGAATCCCAAAGACAGAGGAGAGGCTGCTGCAGTACACTATGGGAATGACTTGCTCCCTCCATTTGCTGCTCCCCTGTTGTGACACTGAATCCTTCTTAGTCACTCACTGAGCAAATCCATGTCCCATTTTAGTGGCCATACAAGACTTTGCCAAAACCACACAAGGCAGGCAGAGAGCCTGGAACCTGACCTACAAGCCACCAGTGTCAAACTTGCACTTGTTTTAATCCAAGCAAAAAAAGAAGCCTAGGAAAGGCAATCAAAAAAACCCTCTGTATTAGCCCTTCTCATCTACTCACTGCAACAAAGCTAAATAATTTCCTTCACAAAGTTTCTTAATTTAACAAGACAAATATGTTTGCTGAGGAGGGTGGGATAAGAAAAAAACAGGCTCTTCCTCTAAGTTATTACAACTTCGAAATTAAGAGGCTTCAGGCGAAAAGGTGTGGAAAAGAAAATAACAGCTCTTTGCTGAAAAAATATATATGTAACAAAACAGCACAATACCTCGACCGAAACTTTAACTGAACACAATTAAGCGCTTTTTGCCTTTCGGCGCAGGTATAACCACAACCAGCACGGGGCGCCCGCGGGCTGCTCCTGCTTGCTGCAGAAAACCAGGGCTGCCCACACTGCGCACAGGGAGCTGCTGGGGGCAAACAGGGCTCCCCACGCGGCGCACAGGGAGCTCCCTCCAGGCAGCCCGTCTCCCGACAGCGCTCGCTCCAGACAGTCCACGCCGGGCCGGGTCCCCTTCACTTCAGCTATGGGGGCGGCAGCTGGCAAGGGACAGAGGTGCCGGCATTCTCCTCAAAAAGCTGGCAGCCCACGGCTTGGACAGGGGCACTCTGTGCTGGGTTAGGAACTGGCTGGAGGGCCGGGCCCAGAGAGTGCTGGTGAACGGTGCTGCATCCAGTTGGCGGCCGGTCACTACATGTGTCCCCCAGGGATCAGTGTTGGGCCCAGTTCTGTTTAATATATTTACTGATGATTTAGATGAGGGGATTGAGTCCATCATCAGCAAATTTGCAGATGACACTAAGCTGGGGGGAGTGTCGATCAGCTGGAAGGCAGGAGGGCTCTGCAGAGGGACCTGGATAGGTTGGAGAGTTGGGCTGATTCCAAAGGGATGAGGTTCAACAAGGCCAAGTGCCAGGTCCTGCACTTTCGCCACAACAACCTCATGCAGCGCTACAGGCTGGGGACAGAGTGGCTGGAGAGCAGCCAGGCAGAAAGGGACCTGGGAGTTTGGATTGACAGGAAGCTGAACAGGAGCCAGTAGTGTGCCCAGGTGGCCAAGAAGGCCAATGGCATCCTGGCCTGGATCAGGAACAGTGTGGCCAACAAGACCAGGGAAGTGATTCTTCCCCTGTACTCAGCTCTGGTGAGGCCACACCTGGAGTACTGTGTCCAGTTCTGGGGCCCTCAGTTCAGGAAGGACACTGAGGTGCTGGAGCAGGTCCAGAGGAGGGTAACTAGGCTGGTGAAGGGACTCAAGCACAAGTCCTATGAGGACAGGCTGAGGGAGCTGGAGTTGTTCAGCCTGGAGGAGACCTCATCACTCTCTACAACTCCCTGAAAGGAGGTTGTAGCCAGGTGGGGGTTGGTCTCTTTTCCCAGGCAAGACAAGAGGGTATGGTCTCAAGTTGTGCCAGGGGAGGTTTAGGTTAGATATTAGAATTTCTTTACAGAGAGGGTGGTCAGACATCGGAATGGGCTGCCCAGGGAAGTAGTGGATTCTCCATCCCCGGAGATTTTTAAAAAGAGACTGGATGTGGCACTTAGTAACCACAGCGGTAGGGGATCAAGGGTTGGACTTGATGATCTTGAAGGTCCCTTCTAACCCAGCTGATTCTATGATTCTATGATAAGGGCGGGGAGACCCAAAAGCCCCATGAGGCAATGGCAGCCTTTGTTGCAGCAGAGGTGGTGTGGGACAGCCCTCGCCCCCCTTCCCCCCCGGGGTGAGCATCTCAGGGATTCTCTCACAGTTCTCTGGAGGGGGAAGAGGGGGGGACACACGAACAAGAGCTCCTCCACTACAGTGAGGATGGGGCTTCCCTTAAGTGATTTAGCCAGTGTGCCAAAGTTATTTAGCTTTTCGATAGGACAATCATTAAGGCCCGAGCTAGAAAAACAGTGAACCCTGATGTTTATCTTACCCTAGCAGAGACTAGGCCCTCTGTGGAAATTTCACCAAAAAGTATGAACCTATAACACAAACCTTCCTCTTTATTGCCCTGCACCCTGTATGGGCAATTAGCTGCCACTGCCCCGCTGCTACAAATTACCTTTGCTGTAGCGACACCCATAGAAGAGTGGTGAGGGCCCGGCAACCTCACCCAGCTGGGTAAAAAGCCAGCTCCCATGAGAGAGCGAGAAGCAAGAGGAGTCACAACTTGGCAGAGCAGTGATAGTCCATGACAAATGCCTGCTCACTCCTGCAAGATCATTCACTGGGTAGTTCGCCAGCTGTACACTCTGAAAAAAGAAATAAATCCTGGTCATCGCTACCTGAACCTGAAACATCCAGGCTGACAATCATTTCATATTTATTTCCTTACTTCAGACATCTCTTTGTTGCCATTTAATCGTTCATCCTCCTCACTCTAGCTCTTCAGATAAATGTTTCTTATCCCAAGAAACATTCAAACATAAGACTCCTAATTTTCAGATTTTAAAAGTCAGTTAGCCTGAAAGTAGTTTTTCACTGTTTAGGTGATTAACAAAAAGACTGCAAAGCCTGTTAAAGACAGGTCTCTAATTACTACATAGTTCTGTCACTTGCATAAAGACTTCATAGAGTTAAAAATGCCAACATTTTGTAAAATACTGACTGCTCACGTCCTAACTTTTAAAGCAACATAGCAGTTTTCTCAAGACTAAACAGAAGCCAGAAGATCTCTTTGCACACAAAACATCAGTCACACTTAGCAAAAGAAAGGATGGATATACCTGAAATCCATCTTCCATTTACTTAATAAATGTTTTCTTTAAAACATTAGTAGAGCCTGGGGAAATAAATCACACACAAAAGCAGTTAAAAATCCTATTAGGATTAAAAGTAGTGGGTGATGCTAGAAACGTGGTTTTAAAACTCCTGACAGAAATGGAAAATGCTCATTTTACAGTATTTTAAGTAGCTTTAGAGAGATAAGGAAGAAAAAGAATGGGAAGTGTTGTCAGACAGAAGCAAGCAGTACACAAATTGTCACTCGGTGACTCCTGAAGCACCTTCTGTCCATTATGTGTAGTACTTCAGATAACATGTATAACATCTCTTCTGTAACATGATCACTATCTCAAGGTGCTCTCATCTTTTGCGTTGCTCTTTCCATACATTCCTCATGCAGAACAGTGACGGGCACAGTAACCACCCCTTGCCACTTCACACAAAGAAATGGTATTACAGGATCATAAAGTGGCAATCCTTCTGCTCACATTCCTTCCAATTTAGAAGAAAATGAAACAAAATACTGTTTTGCTGCTGCTCTTGTAGAAAGAGTTGCATGAGTTGGTTTATGTTGTTTGCTTTTTTTTTTAGTTACAATACAAAGCAATCAACTACAAACCCCACATGTGGTCGGCACAGCTGCAGTGCCAGCCAGTGTCCAGCAGGACAGTGACGCGACAAGACAGGAGCGCAGAGCCGGCAAGGATCTTCTGAGCACAGCCCAAGGCTTTCCCTGTTGCTCCGTAGTGCTGAGTTATTTTTCCAAAGCTTCCCACTTCCCCCTTTCCTATTCCTAGTCATTTTCTAGCAGGATGGAGAAGAGACCCCCCAGCAAGCCCAGGGTGGCCTAGGTGGAGGAGAGTGCTGCCCAGGAAAGCAGCTCTCCAGAAGAACCCCATGAGGTGGCCTGGACGGAGGATGGGGGTCCCCAGGAAAGCAGATTTTCAGCAGAACTCTACCAGGTGATCCTGGCGAAATCACCACAGATGTAGACAGGTGAGACGCCCTGATGGACTGGGCAGGGCTGGGGCTCTCCAGAGTATCCTGCAATGATGCCAGGATCATGTTTGCCCAGCACACTGGCACCAAAAAGCTCCTGGGGGTGGATGTGATGCCTGAAAGCTAAGGCTGCTCAGGGCTGGACACCAGCCCCAGCACAGCCTCTGCTAAGGAGGATGGAGAGAGCAGAGAGGCCCCAGCTCCTGCCTGGGTGTAGGCAGCAAGACGCAGTGGGATGCTGGACCTTTCCTGTCTGCCTGCCAGCACATTCCTCAGCCTGGGGCACTGGGGCTTTCCCTGCCACAATGTGCTCCAGCATGGCAGCTCCTCTGCTGGGCACCCTCCAGCCAGGAGCCACAAGGAAAGGTCATGCCAGGGCAGCAGGCATGGGGCTGGGCAGAGGGCAGATCTTCCTCTCCTCTCTCTTGTCACTGGACCCTCTGCAGCCCTCCCTGCTCTATCCCTCCATTAGATGTCAGCTTGTTACCCCTGTACAGAGAAGAACAGGAAGTCATGGACTCCATCCAGGCCCTTGACAGCCCCAAAGAGATAACTGTAGCCAGTTGGATGGCAGCTGTGCCAGCATCTGCTGGGAGGGGCTCTGCTGGCTGGGCAGAGCTGCTGCTCCCTCAGGGCACTGCACCACAGCGCTCCAGTCTCACTTGGCCATGTTTCCCCCCACTCATACTCCCATTTGTCTCTCTTTCCCCTGGCTGCCAGAATGCGGGCCACAAGGTCACCTCAGAAAATTGTGGATCTGTGCATAAGCACCAGAGTCCATGGTTCATCACAGCGCTTGGTCCACTTCTGCTGTAGATATGAGATGGTAGAGAGGATCCAGGTGAGGGGACACTCAGAGCTCTGGGGAAGGGGGCAAAGCCTCCTGGCACTGGCACCCTGTGAGGGCAGCGTTTGGGCAGGACTAGGGTCTGGTGGCACTGGGTGCTGGCAGCTGCCGGGTCCCAGCTCAGTTGTGCTCTGCAGATGCTGCTGTATGCCCAGTCCCGTGAGAAGATGCACACAGAGGTGTGGAAGCCACTGAAGGATTGAGGGACACACTGATCACTCCCAGGGAGGCCTTCCCCAGAGGACTGCATCCCCCTGCACAAGGCCTCAAGGCACTTCTCCCGGCACTATTGTCCAGTTGGGCCCTTTCTCTTTGCAGTCCAGTGGAAAAGGTGCTGGAGAGTAAAAAGAGAAGACTCCTAGAAGCCTGCTTCAGAGCTACTCTCTTCCTTCCTAAAGAAAACATATCAGTAAGGTGGACACAGAAGCCCAGGGAGAAGGTAAGTGCTGGGTGAGCTGCAGGAGTCACCAGTCCCTCTGGGCTGCTCTCTGGCCATCCTGCACTGCCCCATGACCAGAGGTCCACGGCAGGGCAGGGTCTCAGCTTTGCTTTCCTGCCCTCATCCCATCATCCCTTTCCCAGGCCCCAGCCACATCCAGTGCTGCAAGCTGCTCTACCTGCAGTAGACTGCCTGCTCCTAGGTGTCTCCTGGGCAGCGCAGGCACCTCTCCTTCCCTGGCACTGGGAGCTCAGATCAGTCCCCTGAGGGTGAAGAATCACTGCCACTGCTCTCTGTCCTCCTTGCAGACCCTGGAAGCCATGGACTCCCTCCTGAAGGAAATAGTGTGGAACACTCCTCCCTCCAGAACTGGCAAGGAGCTGCAGAACATCTTGCAGGTCTGGCCTGTGCAAAGAGTGGGAGTCCCAGAATTGTTCCTCACCCTGTAGGGGAGGGGTTACCCACTCCTGGGTGGGTGGGTGGTCCTCAGACAAGTGCCATGGAGGCAGAGCATGCTGTGGGGACAGTGCCCACCTCTTGTGTGACCAGGCTCTTCTGGAGTACAGAGATTGGCACCTGCCTTCCCACCTGGCCAAAACCTTGGCCCAGGGTCTATGTCCCAGGCCCGCAAGGGACCCCAGGGGCAGGAGGCCCCCTACAGGCTTTGCTCAAGGTCAAAGGAAGCCTTGAGGGACAGTGAAAGTCTGTCCAGGAGCGGAGCTGCGCTGCTGCTACTGGAGTAAGTGTCTGCTCCCGGGGCTCACCAGCAGCTTCTCTTTGCTCAAGTGCTGCTGGACTTTACAAGGTATGAGAGAACTGAGGTGCAGGTTGCAGCCACGGAGAGGATTTGCACATTGAGCAAATGGATGGACAGCTATTCTGAACGGCAGGTAAGGCCTAGGAACCCTCCAGCCATGCTGTGCTCCTCTCCCTGCCACTCTCCCTGGCAGGGCTGCTGCCCAGATGACTCCAGGAGTCGGGGCCACAGGGCCCTGCATAACCAGGACTCACCAGGGATCCAGCCCTGAGCACACTCTCGGATATGAGGCTTTGGCACCAGCTGCCTGCCCTCAGCCCTGCTGCTCTTCTTCCTCCCTCATACAGGACCGCCTTAAAAAAGAGAACTCCACTGTGATGACATCGAGATCTCATTCCTCAGACATCTGTTGGGACATATCCTCCTTTGACAAACACCCTTAGAAATGAGAACTATAGCTAAGAAGACTATTCACCTCAGTGAATTCATCTGTAAGCAAAAAATTAAGGGACATTGTGGTGGCCTTCATCCCTCTGCACACAGACAACACCTCACAGCTCTGCTTCTCTGCTTGACCACCTTTGCCCCTCTGGCTGCTTCCAGTAGCATCCCAGCTCTCTTTCACTGTAGAAGCCGAGTGCTCTCCTCATGTCTTGGATCTGTTCTCTCTCTCTCTAACCATCTTCAATCCTGCCAGTTTGTGGACCCCAATCTGACACCCTCCACAATCTCCCGTCCTGACATCTTGCAAGCAGATCTCAGGCTGGTTTGGAAAGCCTGATGGCAAAGCTACTCTGTCTTACTGACTTCCATGTCTGCCCTGCTCTTTAGGCAGGACAAGGCTAAGGGGTAAATGCTGTGCACACCAAGCAGAAGGTGAAATCAGCTCCTTGCTGATGACTTCCAAAAAGTACCATTCCAAGATAATAAGCTCCCCCCTTGCTGAGACTCTTGTCCATGCCTTCGGCAGAGCACTTACGTGAGCAAAGGGACCCAGATTAAGTGGGGCTGACATGGCCTCACTGTCCCTGATGAGAGGGTTCCTGCTGTCCCCAAGCAGGGACTATCTGAGGGCAGCACTCTGGTATCCCAAGCAGCAGCTCCAGCTCTCCTGCCCACCAGTGAGCCCTGGTCCTCTGCAGGGCCAGCACCCCATGACCATGAGCCCAGATCTCCTCCCTCAGCCTGAGGCCCCTCTGCTCTCATCCTCCTCCACACAGTGACTGTGGGCACTGCTGATGGCACTGCTGGGCACCTCTGGCCCAGGCTGCTCTCAATGCCCAGCAAAGCAGCACCATTAGATAGCTTGTATGACATCTTTGCTCTCTTTCTTCCTGCCACAGCCCTTTGAAAGGTACCTCATATGCTCTGAGAGGACACACATCATCCTTGCAGCCACGGAGGAAATGAAAAAAACTGCACAGGCCGCTGGAATACCACAAAACACTTTTTGCGGGTGGCTACATGTAACCCATGCCCCTTGCTAACAGATGTAAGTGGCCTGTGGCTGGACTGCCCTGCCCTTCAGCCCTTTAAGGCCTTGTTCCTCCCTCCATCCCTCCCTCCCAAACCCAGGTGTCTCAGGTACCTGAAGGCACCTTAAAGCAGAAGAGAGGTATGGAAAGGGCAGCTGAGGCTGCACTCCAGTGGCAGCACTATCCTCACTTGTGTCCCCTCCAGGTGCCAAAGATTGTGAGCTTCGTGCATGAAAGCCCGCAAAGCATCAAGGAAGGACCAAAGCAGCACTGCTTTGACTCCCTGCTTCTCCTGGTAGCTGAGTTTTTCCCCAGGAAGGTAGTCACAACACTGTTGAGCATCACTCCACAAGAAGACAGGTACTGGCCCTGAAAACCCTGAGGGTTTGTTTGCTGTGGAGAGAGGGACCCTGAGACTCTCTGGCTCCCAGACCAAGGAATGCTGCAGGACACCTCTAAGGAGCAGGGTTCTCCATCCCACCAGGCTTTCCAGCCCTGGTGTG